GGTGGGGGTGGGGGTGGTTCTTCCCTCCTTCTGAGCATCCTCTGCAGGTGATTTCTTTCCCTACACTGGCCTGAAGGACCCTGGACTGTTAGGCCTGACAGCCAGGTGCACAGGAGTAGGGGAGGGAGGGTGGTAGGGGCAGGCCAGGGTTGGCCAGATCCACCACCTACTAACGTCCCGGCAAAATGCAGCAGGCCCACTTCCTCCCTGGGCCTCAGTTTACTCTCTCCAGGCAGAGCTAGGGCTAGACGAGGGGAGCAAGAGGCCTGGGGCTCTGTTTAAGTGTTTAAGGTGGAGCTCACTCTCAGGGGTGCTCGAGGTCTGGGTGGGCACCGGGGAGAGAGAGCCACCTTAAACGCCCCAGCTGGTTTCTCCCTTGCTTCCCCCATCTGGCCCAGTCTCCATGTGTCCCCTTTCTATGGCTCCAGGTGCTGTCACGACCCCTCCCTCTGCAGACCAAGGGGAGCGGTATTTGTCCAAGGTACCCATTCCCCATAATGGCACCTTCTGGTTGCCCAGAGGTCTGGGAACGTGGTCCAGATGGCTTCTCGGGGCCCACTGTCCTGGTACGCTGGGGTGTCCAGGGCCCAAGTCCCCATCCCAGCTCTGCCTTTCACCTGGGGTCTCAGAGATGTGTGGAGAGATGTCTGTCCTTACCGAGCCCTGGTGAATCCTGGTTGGCATTTGAGAGCCCTGCTTCAAGGAGCAGAGGAAGCGAGTGGGATTAGAGCTTGATTCTGCCATCTCCAGCCAGACCCAGAAAGTGGGAGTGACCCCCCCCCCGCGAACCCAGGAGCACTCCCCGGACCCACAGACACACTGGGAGCAACCAACCTTGAGCTCCGGCCCTACTGCTTGGCCCTAGTGTTCAGGGTCAGAATTTGTCTCTGCAGGATGCCTGGAGTGACCAGTGGGGACAGATCCACCTGGATTCCCAGCAGGATTACCAGCTGCTGCAGGCGCAGAGGACACCAGAAGGCCTGTGTCTGCTCTTCAAGAGGCCCTTTGGCACCTGTGACCCCAAGGATTACCTCATTGAGGTGGGTGGTGGCCCCATGTGCTCAGGAGATCATGGAGTACCCCCACGACCTAGGGCAGCGCCCCTGGGCCCCGTTGTGCACAGAGAGAAAGCCAGGGAGGGACCTCAGAGGTGCTGGGTGAGGACAAGGGACCAGCTCTGCCATCAGCCTCTGGTCCCTTCAAGAAGTACTCCTGACTGACTCGTAGCCGAGATATTTCTAGATTCGGGTCCTGCCCCGAAGCCTCTCAAACTGGGACCACAATGATCTTGCTCCCAACTTTCTTTCCTTCTGGTCCCTCATCTTCAGGTGGAATTCTGGAAAGAGCCCAGAAGACCCGGTTTCACTAACTGTCCGGTTGCCAATGGGCTGCGAGGCTTGGGACAGTTCCTTCCCCCCTCCAGACCTCCTTGGTTGACATGTCTATAAAGTGCAGGAGAAGCAGGGTGACCTGCAAGGCCCTAGCAGCTCCGTCTAGGAGTTCAGAGCCACCGTGGATCCTAAAAACCCCCTAGGCTTCTCGAGCTGCTCCAACACACCCATTAGGGAAAAACCACCCAGCTTGGCCTTGAAGACAAAATTCTTTTAATTTTCCAGCGCACTTTGACCTTGGTCACCGTGTGTAATCTTTCCAGTCTGGTAGTGATGGGCTGTCTGTGTGCCAGACAAGGAGATTGAGGCCAGACAGGGGAAGGACTGGCTCGGGGACCAACGGCAGCCCGTGGAGTCCTTACACTCCTGAGCCACCGTCCCCATGGACGAGGCAAGGAAGGAGAGGCAGAGGACCCTCTCCAAGGACTTTGCACGGGGTGCAGCCACGGCGTATGTGTGCTCAGCTCAGAGCCTCGGGGTGTGGGGGAGCCCACAGCCTGAGGCTCTGATATGTCCTTAGGTGAGAGCTGTCACAGGGGCCCCAGGTTTATGTAAACTCAGAGAGCAAAGGGGCTGCCCACCACGAATACAAACATACGCACGCATCCACTGGTGCCCAGAAAACACATCCATGTAGGCCCACATCCTACGTGTAGACACAGGCGGACATTCCTGGCAGCACGGTGGGGGAAAGCCAAGCCCAGACTCTCGCCTCCTTGGGTCTGTCTGTGACCTCTAGCACGGTGCCGACTAGAACTTTCTATGCCTGCACTGTCCGGCTTCAGTGGGACAGCACAACTCTCCAAGCTCATTGCGACTGTTGAGAAGCCCCAGTTTGGTGTTTTTCCCTTCACGGGGTCATTGACTTCTCACGCCAGGCTGTTCACTGGACCCGAGGAAATGACCCACACCTGATCCCCGGTGGCCCTGGGGGTGCTGGAGGGGACAGATATCTGAGGGGGGCCAGCCGGTCTGGCTCTCAGGCGGCCCAGCAGTGGCTGGCAGAATGGATGCTTAGCGAATGTGGATAGATCATATTTGCAAAGAAAACATGTATTTAATGCCTGGTGCAAGCTGTGGGCTGGGGGGTGATTAGCCGGGGACGGAATCTCAGCTGCATCCTCAAAGATGCCCTCCTTCACAGAGACAGGAGCCGGGCATGTCACCTGCCAGGTGAGGTGGCAGGGACCTAGCAGCGCCCGGTTACGGGAGCCCAGCTCTGGTGGGGCGGGGGGGTCTGCGTGTCTCGGCTGCAGGATGGTACCGTCCACCTGGTGTACGGGATCTTGGAGGAGCCTTTCGGGTCGCTGGAGGCCATCAACACGTCGGCGCTGCAGACTGGGCTGCAGAGGGTGCAGCTGCTAAAGCCCAACATCTCCGTCCCGGCCTTGCCCTCGGACATGCACTCCATGGAGATCCACACCCCAGACATCCTGATCCCCAGCCAGAAGACCACATACTGGTGTTACATCACCGAGCTTCCAGATGGCTTCTCCCGGCACCACATCGTCATGGTACCTGGGGGGGAGGCGGGTCCCAGGGCCCATCTCTGCTTCCTCCTGGGGCCTCAGAGGCCGCTGGGGAGACATCCTTGTCCTGGAAAGCCATTCATGGTTCATGAACCCCTTGCACCAGGGGTCCCCCCATTGCCTGAACCCCAGGCACCCTGTCACCTGCTCAGCCCCCAGCCTCCCAGGGCACCTGTGCCCCCACTGCCCAGACTGGACCAAAGGACACTGATGTTTTGATTTCTGCGTCTTCCCCTGGGACTAGAAGGGCCTCTGTCTATCTGTCAGGTCACATCCCCCTTCATGAAAAGGCAGCTCAATTGCTCTAAACACCCACCCAGAGATACGATGTGAGGGCACCAGCTCTCTTCCTGGCCCTGGGGGACAGGGAGGCAGGGACCCCCTCCATCTCCACAGTGGTGCATGCTCAACACAGAAAGTGCAGCCCCGAGACATTGTGCGAGTGCCCAAAGTCACACAGGGGTGGCCAGCCTGGTCTACTGGCTCAGGCTTGGCCTCAGGGCAGCCTCTGTGTCCTTGCCCGGCCACGGCCACGCTTACACGAGGACACCTTCCTGTCCCCACCTTATCAGGAAATGACTTGCAGCGATCCTCATGCCCTTCGCTCTGGAGCTCTTTGTGGGCTTCTGGCAGATTCTGCCTGGTTTCGGGTTGGTGGCTCCCCCTTCAAAGCCCCGGGCCCCAGAAGCGCCCCTGGAAATTGCTTCCCTTAACCCTCCCATTTTACAGATGGGCAAGTAGAGGCCCACGGGGGTGGGGGGCGCTGCTGGCGGGCAGGCAGGTGTCCGTGGCCCCAGGCTCAGTGCCCTCCCGCTCCCCCAGTACGAGCCCATTGTCACCAAGGGCAACGAAGCCCTGGTCCACCACATGGAGGTCTTCCAGTGCACCGCCCAGTTCGAGAGCTTCCCTCAGTTCAGCGGGCCCTGCGACTCCAAGATGAAGCCTGACCATCTCAATTACTGCCGCCACGTGCTAGCCGCCTGGGCGCTGGGTGCCAAGGTGCGGGCCCTGCGCCTCCCCGGAGCCGTGGGGGCCCCAACTCCTCCACCCTGTGTCCCCCCACCTCTGAGGGCCTCCGAGCAGGGGGCTCCAGAGGGCGCTCGTGAGGCCACCGGAGAGGGCCCCGCCCACATAACGCCACCCCCAGCTCCGTCTCTCTTCCAGCCCTCTTGGGCCACGAGGCTTTTTCCAGCCTTTGTGGCTGTTCTATAAAAATGCAAAATTTGAGCGTAGGTACTTGGTGAGTATTGATCTTGCTTCCCCACTGGACTTGGGGGTTCGTGCACAGGGTGCACCGGGTGGTCCTGGCGGGTGGGTGGCAGGTGCTGTGACCTCCGTGGGCTGCATCCACGGGGCTTCCACCCATGCAGAGGAGGGCGAGGCAGGGCCATGCGCAGGGCCTGGGGGGTACGCTCGCCCCCGGGACACCAGCTCCCCCTACTCCCTGACCTCGAGTTGAATAGGATATCCGGGTGGGCTGGTAGTGAGCTGCCCATCAGCGGGAGAGCACCATTCTAATCCCGCTGCCCCGCCAACACCCGCCACCACAGCTCAGGCCCCAACAGCTGGGTGGGTTTGCCCCAAGCCCCGTCTGGGAGGAACCCCTTGTGAGACACCAGTTTGCCTGTGTCTGATTCCTCACCCCCCACCCATCCCCCGCAGGCCTTTTACTACCCGGAGGAAGCAGGCCTTGCCTTTGGGGGCCCCGGGTCCTCCAGATATCTCCGTCTAGAAGTTCACTACCACAACCCGCTGAAGATCCAAGGTAGGGAGTTCTAAGCATGTGTTTCTACCCCCGCCTCTGTCCTCCCTTCGGAGTCCTCGGGCTCGGACATGCCCATTCTGGGAGGTGATTGGGGTGTCTGCCCAGCACTGGACCCCCCTCCCTGCAGTGCAGCCTCCTTACGACCCATGGAGGCAGGCGCCCCTCTTACGCCTTTCCTTCTGTTCCTCTCCCGAGACTGTAGTGGGCTCCCTGGGGCAGGGCCCCGTCCGGCCGGCTCATCGTTGCACCCCACACAGTGGGAGTGCAGCACCCCCATCTTCCTCACAAGCATAATTGCCAGGTACCACCCTCTGGAAAAGGGAGGCAGAGGCTTCTTGCATGCCCATCTGCAGATGAGGAAATTAAGGCCCAGGCTGAAGGGACTCCCACCGGGGCCATGAAGTGAGTAGGTGGGGCCAGGAGGTCTGGGTCTAGGCCGGCGGGGACCCCGGTCACAGCTCTCTGGTGGCTGCACTGCACTTGAACCCGCAAGGTTGGTCGGACTCCAAAGCCGTAAGGAATCACTTAGATACCGGTTTGGTCGGAGTCCAAGTGGCCCACCTCCTCCCCACACCCCCTCCTTGCTCTGTAGTGGGGTCAACAGGTTCAAGGTCAGTGAAGAGAGGTCCCGGGCCGGAGCGCTGTGCCCTATTTCCCTGGAAGTCCCACTTCTCCGAGGCTGCTCAGACCAGTAGCTGCCTCTCATCCCCAGCTGCCCCTCCCCAACAGGGTGGCCGCTGGCACCCAGGCACGATGTCTCTGCCGTCCCCACAACAGGCTGGGTCACAACAGGGCACCTGGAAGGACGGCAGGTGCAGGCCATCCAGGGCCCAGAACCCGCCTTCTGACGGCCTGAGCCCTGGGAGGCACTGCCCCCGGGATTATTTTCAGGTCGAGGGAAGAGCCCTGGCTCAACTGGGAGCATTTCCGACTGGGTGCTCCTCCCTGGCTTCTCAAAACACATCCCAGCAGAGCAAAGGCACGCTTGCATCTGAGCACGCGTCTGGGATTTTCTATGCACATGTTTTCGGGTCGGGGGTGGCAAACAGGCTTTGCTTATGGGCTCCTCCAGTGGATCCTCCGCAGCTGCATGGGGCTCCCTGTCGGAGAGGCATCTGAGGCTGTCCGGGGCCCAGCGGGGTAGCGCTGTCGTTCGTTAGTGAGGTCTGCCCTGTGCAGCAGTAGCTGCTGGATCACCCTGCGCCTGCAGGCGGACAACGAGAGTCGATCTTTAGGATGGTGATGCCAGTTGTAACGGGGTCAGGAACTGAAACGTTTCGTCTGCAACACCAGCACCTTCCACCACATGCGGCCACATAACCCTCTCCCTCTCTCTCTTTAAAAGGACACTTACTTTCATTTGTGGAAGCGAGGAGAAGAAATAGCCTGAGAGATGAGAACGGGAGCTCCAGCCTGGGCCCCAGCCCGTCCCTCTCGAGCTGCGTGACCCTGACGGGGGGCCCCCTGGCCCCCCGCAGCTGTCCTGAGGCTGGGAGAGCTCCCACACACAGCTCCCAGCTGCATGTGGGCCCCGGGTTGTGCCCCGCCAATGGCTGCCAGCGATCTTTCTCCCGGCGGCATAACTAATATTTTCTGCCACCACTGGAATTACCTACAGTGTGCACAGAGAAGGGCATAAGTCAGCTGGGGCTTTAGCATGATGTGGGATTTATTGCTCATTTAAAACCTGAAAGCAAATGGATTTTTGAAAACTCCTTAACCGTCAGGGAGGTCTGTCTCTTCCTGATTATCTGGTTATATTTATGGATCCTTTGCCAAATATAAGGACGCTCTGTCACTTCACAAATCTGGAGATGGGCCGCTTGGCTATAAATATCAAAATGCCACAATTATTTCATTATTTAATCCCCATCTGAATTTTAACCAATTGCATCGCCTTTTTATTATTATCCTCTGATGTAACCGGCCCAGAGACACAGAGGCTGAGTTTGGA